TGAGGACACGTGGCATGATCTGGTGGACCAGACCCTGTGAATAGGGAGGGTCCGATCGCTGTCTGAGGGTCCGGTTCGCACCCTGCGTAGATAGACTTTGGGCAACGCCTCTTTTAGCCCTTGGGGCTATTAGTAGTGACCCTAACCAGCCTTGGGCTGGTTGCTGAGCACCCTCACGCCTTGGTGGCCTGTGTAGGTGTGCTTAGGAGCCCTCTAACTCACTTGTGCTTGCTAGATTGCAAATCGATAGCTAGTGAGTTATTCTAGTGTATTGCATTGAGAGATTGCAAGAGTGGCACTAGGTGATCGAGTTGCAAGCCGGTGATGCTTGTTACTCTTGGAGGTTGTCACCTCCTAGATGGCTTGGTGGTGAGTTCTCTGTCGTGAAGCATGCAAGAAGATTGTGCGATGCTCCAAAGAAGGATTTGTGATGGGTACCATGCTCACCCCGTGGAAGCCGCGAAGAGCAACACTAGTTGAGCATGCCATTGAGTTACCCTCACTTGTGGGTAGGTGCTTGCAGCGCCCAACGTGTGGGCTAGGCTTATGAACGCCTATTAGTCGTCGAACCACTAAGTAAACGGTTGACACAATGGGGACTAGCTTGGTGGCAACCAAGTGAACCTCAGGATAAAAATCACCGTGTCATCATCTTCCCGTTGGTTAACGATCCCCATACACAAGCTTATATTTACTTTCATATATATTATGCTTGTGTAGTTGCTCTTGTATTTAGTTAGCTTGTGTAGCTTGCTAGTTACCTTCTTGTTTGTGTAGCATAGAACTAGCTCCCTTGTGTGACTAATTGGCTTGAGTAGCCTTGTTAGTCACTTTGCTTAGTTTGTGTAGCTAAGTGATTTGAGCTCTCTAATTTGGCTTGTTTAGCCTTGTTAGTGAGCATTGCTAGTGAGCTTAGGAGTTTTGTACTTTTGCTTACTAGCTTGTGTAGGAGCTTCCCTGGTTGTCTAAAGTACTAGTTGCATAGGTTTGTATGACCTTGCTACTATAATTGATTAGGTGAGCTCTAACTAGCCCGGCACCTTTGTTGCCTAATTATGATCTTTTCAAGGTGTTTGAGAACTTAGATAGAGAGGTGTAGTCTTGGTTAGACCGTTAGTTTTAATTTCGCATTTATCTCGGTTAGCCGGCGCTATTATTTTTTTAGAAAGGACTATTCACTCCTCTCTAGTCCACCATCTCGACCCTACACAGGGCGGTGTGCTTACTGCAACCTCTCCTGAAAATACATTTTTAGAAGTGGTTCTCGTATTTGAACCACCCCTGAAAATGCATTTTTAGAGACGGTTCTCCTACTGCAACTGTCCCTGAAAATACCATTTTCAGGGGTAGATATCTTAACAGAACCGTCCCAAGAAATTCTTTTCCAAGGATGGTTAAATGCCCGAAGCTACAAACACTTTATCTTTACAATCGGTGGCATTGTAGCGGTTTTTCAAACTGCCCCTAAAAACCCATTTTAACGGCCTCTAGAAATCTTTTCCCGACTAGCGATCAGACCAAAAACAAGATGAAGAGTCTAACCATTTCCATTAAGCATTACCACTTGGTTTAGGTCAGCAGTACCACAGTATACTAGCATAGTAATGAACCAAAAGAGTACATTTATTACACGAGGGACAACCCAATCTCAATTTGCAGCCTGTGCCTATCTATCTCTTTTATCTTCTATCTTATATCTATTACTACTTAAAAAGTAAGGACAGTTATCATGGTATAATTGCCCCGCTCCTCTACGCCTGGTCTGCAGAGTCGGCGTCGTGCTACGTGGTCTGCATCTGGTCCTCAAGGCCTGCGCCACTTCTATGCAGCGCTATTTGCCCTATTCGCTTGGCCACTTGGCTGATAAATCATGGCTGAAAGTACTGTTGGCTGATTTATTGTGAGAGAAAAATATCGTTCGTTAGCTAAAAAAGTATGGCTTATAAGCCAAGCGAATGGGGCGATTGTCAGCGTCACGCTGCTTGCACCCAACCCCGCGTTCCGTTGTCCACACAGGCATACCCCAACGCCACTTCGCTCATGGCCAACCCAATCACCTAGCTCCGCTCACCCTGATAAATTCCATGTGCTCCGCTCACCCGCTTGCCTTGAACTCAACCGCAATGCCCGAAGCGAGCTCCGTTCGCACAGGGCTGGACACTAGCAGTCGTGTGAAGTCGTCGTTGAGTTCCAGGAACGCTGACAGCGTGCAATAGTATTAATCATTTTTTACAGATGGCTTCCATTTGTAATAGAGACGGGCGACTTAGGAAACCGCTCATACCCTTGGCGGGGAGCACTGTAGCTAACGAACCGTGGTTGGAAATCAATTTTCAGGGGCAGTTCTATTAAATAAACCATCACTAAAAATATACCTATTTTCAGGGATGGTCGGCTTAAAAGAACCCCCCCTGAAAATAAGATTTTCAAGGTCTGTTGCTTATGTCAACCGTCTTTAAAAATGAGTGATTTCTAGGGCCGGTTTTGTTAAGTCGACCATCCCTAAAAATCCATTTTCAAGGGCGGTTGACTAAGTCAATTGTCCTTAAAAATAGTTATAGCACAAATAAATTCATATCTTTTTTCGAATGAAGTCCGATGAAGACATAATTTATTTTAAAATTTTAGATATTGATGAGATCTAAAACTTTGAAGTTGATTGGTTAAGATCATTTAGGATTCCAAATATATAAATTAAGTTCTCAGATTTGTTTGAATTTTTCAAATGACCTTGGATGGAGACATGTCCTATATCAAAGTTATAGTGCTCGACGAAATCTAAAACTTGTAGTTGAAAATTTTCTCATTTAAGATTGTTTACAAGTCAAAATATGAATTACAAGATTCGTATATATGAGTATAAATAGATAACATCATATAAGCAATCAAGTGATTGTGTGGTGTGGTGGTAGATGGCTATACGCATGAGGCGAAAGGTCGCTTGTTTGAATCCTAGCGGCTGCATTCTGTTAGAAATAGTGAAAATTAAATCCAGAGCGAGTGGTGCTTGGTCCTTCAGGCTTTCGGCTACATTAATTTTTTTTCATATTTTTACAACTCCTAAATGATTTTCTAAAAAATCCAAAAATTATTTTTAAACACAATTGGCTTAAGTCAATCGACTCTAAAAATTAATTTTTAAGGAAGGTTGTCTGAAGAAAATCGTCCCTGAAGTCAATTTGTAGGTACGGTTTTAAAACCGTCTCGGAAAATAACTTATTTTTACCGTCAATGCCATAGTATCACTTTCGCTAAGCGACTAAAGATCATTTTTGACCGTCTGTTTGTTTGTGTACTAGTCTAGTGACGTTGACCGCAACGGTTGTCGGTGCCAGCGACGCTGCGGACGCCGCGGCGAGTAGCGTGAAAGCTACCGCGAGGATAGGATGCAGGAGGCGGGAGGGGTCTGTCTCCGTATCTCGCCACCACTATTGAGTGAGCGAGAGCACTCGAGGGTGGGTGAGCGGGAAGGAATGGATATTTTATTTCGCTTTTGTCAATATACAACGTCGTTTTCTAATGAAAAATGCTGGGTGATTTTAGATATTATTATTTTATATCCGGAATAATATTTGAGCTTTTTGGATCCCTTCCTCTACAACTTTTAAATTGACTATCTTATATTTGAGATTTCAGATATTATTATTTTATAGATATAATATATATGCACGGCTTCCGGATATTGATTAATCTGCTTCGGCGAGGTGCCGTCGCTGCCAGACGGCGCAGCATCATCGGAGCTCCGTGTGTTTGTCTAAGCACCAATCCATGTACGAATTGTTAATATGTTTGTCTAAGCACCGATCTTGAGGATATTATTGTGCCCAACTATTCGGGCGAGCGAGAGCACTCGAGGGTGGGTGAGCGGAACGAATGGATATTTTAGTTCGTTTTTGTCAATATACAACGCCTTTTTTCTAATGAAAAATGCTGGTTGATTTTAAATATTATTATTATTATTTTATTTCCGGAAGAATATTTGAGCTTTTTGATCCTTCGTCTATAACTTTTAAATTAACTGTCTTATATTTGAGATTTTAGATATTATTATTTTATATGCACGGCTTCCGGATATTAATTAATCTGCTTCGGCGAGGTGCCGTCGCTGCCAGAGGGCGCAGCATCATCGGAGCTCCGTGTGTGTGTCTAAGCACCGATCCATGTACGTCGCAACCAAGGATGAAGATTCTTTGCTGAGGGCCGAGCGCGCTTGTCTTATAAGCCGTATTTTTTCAGTGAAGGAACAGTGTTTTTCTCTCACAACAAATCAGTGAACAGTGTTTTTCAGTTTGTCTTTTCAGCGAAGCGAAAAGGGTAGTCACCATCAGAAATTTGGAAGAACCTGCTAAAACGATGGCATGTCTTTTGGTAATTCTATTTTATCAGTTCCTAATTCTTGTGTAACTTCGAATGTTCAGAGTTTGGGTATCTCTATGGGCTTTAATTCAAATGATTTTTTTTCAAGGGCGTGTCGGATATTAAATTTGGAGAGTTAGATAGGCTACTTGCTAGAAATCAAGAGCAACAGGTCACAACTAAAATGTTTGAAGAATCTGGTGAGGATGAGGACAATGCGATAGAGTATTTTTAACTCTAGGTCACTTATGTAGTGGCATCATTGAAGAGAATCTGGACGACGATGCAGATCACATTGGTGGTGAATGGCATAAGGTGTCCAATAAGAAAAGCTCTTAAAAGAGAAAGAAAATAAAATATCAACATCCATTTTAAATAAAAAAAGTTACCTAAATGAAAGGAATATTCTAGAATAGCAGAAGTCTTAGGGACTTGGCTAAATATAAATTTCTTGACTTTATTGCAATCTTACAGACTCGACGAGATGACTTTTCAGTAGGAGATCTGAACAACATTTGTAGTGGCAAAGATTTCCTTTGGCATTGGACATCACCAAGAGGCCGGTCAGGAGGAATACAAGGGAATACCCTTGGATCCGCACCTGCCGGGGTGTGGCTGGTGGTCTGGAACAACATGGTCACGACTCACGAGCTTCCCGGAGGCGGGCAGGCGGCGAAGGTCAGTGGGGGCGAGGTACTCGAGGAGGACGTGTGGTCGCGGAGAACATCGATAAGGTTGGCGCCCGACTCGGCTGCGAATGCCGACGGCGACCACGGAAGGTTACCGTTCGGCACGGCGAGCAGCGTCAGCGACAACCGCCCTGCTAGCTCCGTGACGTCGTTGAGGTCCAGGAGCGCTGACAGCGTGCCCGTGACGTCGACCGCGACGGCTGTCCATGCCGCCGACGCTGCGGACGCCGCGGCGAGCAGCGTGAAAGACACAGGATGCAGGAGACGGGACGGATATGTTTCCGTATCTCGCCACCACTATTCGAGTGAGCGAGCGAGCACTCGAGGGTGGGGGAGCGGACGGAATGGATGTTTTATTTCGCTTTTGTCAAATATACAATGTCTTTTTTTAATGAAAAATGCTGGGTGATTTTAGATATTATTATTTTTTATATCCGGAAGAATAATTGAGCTTTTTGGATCCCTTCATCTACAACTTTTAAATTAACTATCTTATATGCACGGCTTCCTGATATTGATTAATCTGCTTCGGCGAGGTGCCGTCGCTGCCAGACGGCGCAGCATCATCGGAGCTACATGTGTTCATCAACGCTATAGAATTCTTAATATGTTTGTCTAAGCACCAATCCATCTACCTCGCTGTAGGCATGCGCAAAAATTTATGACCCCGACGCACGGACATATATCTATATTTAAGAAAAGAAAAACGTATATTATAATTAGATCAAAATCCTGGACATCTCACCTCAGTTTGCAACCTCTTGAATGCTTCCTCGGCGTCCTTGGCCTTGATCATAACGTATATCTTACCAACGTCAGGATTCGCCCTCAAAATTTTCTCGATAAGAACTGATGCAGAACGGCGAACTAGGATTGTGATACATCAACTACCAAGGAGTATGTATGTACTCCTTCCTAAATATCAAAGAAGAGAAGGTAGACAATGGCACACACCTTTGGCCAGGAATCCAGTTCCGCCAGTGATGAGGAAGTTGTTGCCCTCGAGGAATTCAGCGATCCCAATCCCGGCGACGTGATCGTGATCCGTTGCCAACACAGCAGTACGACGGGCTCTTGAATCCCCCGAGCCCGAGGACGACGGGCTTGACCTGTCCGACAATGCTGGGAGCATCACGGCTCTCCCTCTCGCCCCACGAGCACGTCCTCCACCGCTGCTGCTGCTGGTCGCTAGACTCGGCGTGCGCCTGGCAGCGAGGACAGCACTGCCGGGGAGGGGCATCAGGTTCGTGCATGGAAACCCCATGGCGGCCAAACAAGGTCGTACTCTAGGCAGTGTCGGAGCTTGATCAAACAAGCAGCAATGGCCATTCTTTATAATCGAGTCTTATAATCATCTATGAAGAGTCAAAAAGTTACAGTTTAGCACGTGGAAATTGTATTGGGCAGGAGTTTAGCACGTGGAAATTGTATTGGGCAGGAGGGGGCCACGGCCCAGCTTGATGTGAACCAAGCTCCGCCCCTGACTCTAGGATAGCGTTTGGTTGGTCCTAAGGGCGGCCTCAATGGTCGGCTACGTCGCTAGCTGACGTTGGACATCATCCGACGTGGACACATAAAAATGAAGAGAGATGAGCTCGCTTTTCGCTGCAACCGAGGACATGCATGTGATAGCGGGATATACGGGAACCGCTCTACCGGTGGGACTGGAAAGGTAAGATAATATTTTTTTCTTTCTCTCTCACCACCAGCTCAGCCAGCGACGTCGTCGACCCCGCTGGGGACGCCCTAAGGTAACGTCATTGGAAACGGAATGAGCTCACGGGGGTTTTGGTGGTGGGATCACTACTTATTGCAGCCTTTGTTTGGTTGGGTACAGTAATGGTATTGTTTACCGTTACAGGTGTTTGGTTTCCATCTCAGTGATCACAAATCAGTTTTCAAATTTGTAGTTCTGTACTAACAAGCCGGTAGGCAGCATAGCTAAGTACGTAGGGAAGAGAATTTGAATACGTGACAAGAGCACTGTAAAATATCATACACAACACAACTCAGGTAAAGGAAAATCAAGCAGACAAATGGAAGAAAAGTCATCAATCATTGCATGTCGTACAGCAAAAAGGATGAACACAAGATTGGATGGACACAAGGCTGACAACAGGCCAATGTATCCTTCTGCTAGTAAAACTCCATTGTAAAATCTCATCCATTAAACAAAACCTTTTTTTGCTCATGAGCTACCATGATGAGAACATGTTTAGTCCGAATCTTACCCATGTACCAGGTTCAATACAGGTTCGAAAATGGACATAAGACCGACAAAATTCAGAACAACTAGAACGGTAATATATCAAACACATGATATCTCATCCACCAGCATAGCTAAGCATCCTCCTTTGTATCTTCAGCTTGTTAGTTCAAACATGTGAACCCTTGAATATGCAAAGATCCTACCTTGTTCCACCCTTCTATCCGCTTCCTTCTCTCCTCTACAAAAAGAGCAGATAGTTTATAAAGACAAGTGCAGGGCATCATATGTATCAACAGATGTTGGCTATCATATATATCAACAGATATTGGCTATCTAATGTAACTTGCAATTCTTGTGAATGAACCCAGATGCTGACATTCAGCATGTCAAGCCTGACACGAGCTACAGTTATGTTCAGAAATGTCACAAGTAACTTGTACTGTACTAAGTAGTATTTCAGAGAAAGCATATAACTGAACTACAAAATGATTTCTTCAGCTGAACTACAAAACTTTATAAGCGCTATCCAAGATGGTGATAGAATAGCGGTGTCACAATCAGACAAAGACAACGTCGCATTCCAGTTTTTTAGTCAGTCTATTGGCACGCCGAAGCCGAGAAGCCTTGCGCTGAATTGGGAAGCACTGGGATATGAACAGTTTGATTTGGACTCTCTGGATTCACCATTAACAGAGCAGGAAATATCTCTAGTCATAAAAGAAATGCCTTCCATGAAAGCACCCGGGCCGGATGGCTTCATCAGTCTCTTTTATAAAAAATGTTGGAACGTCATAAAATACGATTTAATAGAAGCATCAGTGCAAGCTTTTTACAACCACAGAACATCCAAGTTGCACTTACTGAATGAGGCAAACATAATCCTGCTGCGCAAGAAACAAGAAGCTTCCAGCATGGCAGACTATAGGCCAATAAGCTTGATTAACAGCGTCGTCAAAATAATAACAAAGATTCTTGCCTCCAGACTTGCACCAAAGCTGGACAACATGGTGTCAAATGCACAGAACGCTTTCATTAGGAAAAGGTGCATCCATGATAACTTCATCTATGCACAAAAGGTCATTCAAACATTACACAAGAAAAATAACCCGGCCTTTTCATCAAGCTGGACATCTCCAAGGCCTTTGATTCTATCAATTGGCCCTATCTACTGGAAGTATTCACTACCAGACAGAGCATCTTTACCGAGGGCCTGAGTATTTGTCGAGGGAAAATGCTCGGGCACTCGGCAAAGAGTCTTTGCCGAGGGCCTGACCCTCGGCAAAGACAAGCACACGGCAACAATAATTATTTACCGAGGGCTAAACCCTCGGCAAAGGCCCGGCCCTCGGCAACACCGTCTGACACGATGTCCATCCCCTACCGTCAATCTTTGCCGAGGGCATCACCGTTAGGCCCTCGGCAAAGACTTTTTAACCGTTTTTGAAAATTTTCTTTTAAATTTTTTTTTGCCGAGTGCCCCTAGACCAGCACTCGGCAAAGACAGTCTTTGCTGAGTGCCAAGCTGGCACTCGGCAAATTTTCATTTTTTTTTTTTTTTTTGACCCCAAATTTTTTGTTGGGCCCGCCTACATTGTTTATAACTTCATGTTCAAATTTGATGTTTTTCTAGTTTTTTTGTTATATTTGGTTGATTAATTTGATTATGTTGAATTTTTATATATAATTCAAATTTGAACTACAAGTGCATGGAATATTGTAATCTAGTGCTTCGAAAAATGTTATTCATGGTATTTGGTGTATGTTGAGTCTCTATTCACAAATTCGCATCAAATTTATTCGCATCTTCTTCCACACGTAACATGATGAGCCACTTGCCCGAAAAGTGTTTTAAAAGTTTATAAAAGTCCATATGAAGTCCGAAAATATTATATAATTTTAAAACACATTTTATAAGTATGTGGCTCATGATGTTACGTTTCGAAGAAGATGCGCGAAATTTGATGCATAATTTGTGAATTGAGACTCAACATACACCAAATACCATGAATAATATTTTTTCAAGCACTAGATTACAATATTCCATGCACTTGCGCTTCAAATTTGAAATAGTCGAAAAAATTCAACGAAACAAAACTAATTAAGGAAATAAAGTAAAAAAACTAAAAATTGTCCCAAATTTTAAAATGGAGTTTTAATTACTGTAGCAAGGCCCCAGAAAAAAAATGGGGCAAAAAAAAAAAAAAATTAATTTGCCGAGTGCCAACCTTGACACTCCGCCAAAAGCCTTTGCCGAGCGCCAGTCACAGGGCGCTCGGCAAAGAATTTTTTTAAAAAAATAAAAAAACCTTTGTCGAGTGTCACTGGCACGCACTCGGCAAATCTTTTAACCTAAAAAGGCGCAAAATGGGCGGGACCAACCCAACCCCTCCTCACTGCCTCCCACCCCCCCCGTCACGTGCAACACATGCCGCTGCCGTCGTCCCCCCCTCCGGCGAGGTCCTGCTGGCCCGCCCCGACGCCCCCGCCCCCCCCCATCCTTGCCCCGCCCGTCCTCATGGCGCTCGCCCGACCTTCGGCCGGCGCTCCCACCCAGCCCAGCCTCCCAGCCCCATGCCCTGGCCCCATGCCGCGCCCGGGCTCCGAGCTACCCGGGGACAGCGACTCGGCCGGCCCCGAGCTCCACCGGCCGTGCCATGCCCTACGGCCGGCCAGCAGAGGGAGAAGGAGAGGAGCAAGAGGAAGAAAGAGAAGGGGGAGGAGGAAGAGGAAGAAAGAGAAGGGGGAGGAGGAGGAAGAGGAAGGTGCCGACTCGACCGCCCGTCGATCCTCGCGCCGTTCTGACCGCCCGTTGATCCTCGCGCTGCTGCGGTCATCCCCGCCATCGTTGCCGGCCCTCGCTCTTGCCGTTCTTGCCACCAAGGTAAGCCCTACCCTTGTAGTGTTAGTAGTAGTAGTAGTTAGTAGTGTTAGTAGTAGTTAGTTGTAGTGTTAGTAGTAGTAGTTAGTAGTGTTAGTTGTAGTGTTAGTTGTAGTAGTTAGTAGTGTTAGTTGTAGGGTTAGTAGTAGTAGTAGTTAGTAAATAGTAGTAGTTAGCAAGTAGTAGTGGTTGTTAGTAGTAGTTAGTAGTGTTAGTTGTAGGCTTAGTAGTAGTAGTTAGTAAATAGTAGTAGTTAGTAAGTAGTAGTGGTTAGTAGTAGTAGTTGTTAATAGTTAAGTAGTTCTTAGTATTAGTACTGTTAGTAGTTAAGTAGTTGTTAGTAGTAGTGTTAGTAGTAGTTGTAGGGTTAGTAGTAATTGTTGTTGTACTACTTCAATACTTTCATCTGCATGGAAAGAGAACTAAAGTACATGGCTCCTCTTGATGTATTGGTGGTTGTTGGCCTTCGTGCCCATGTTTGGTATATATGTGGTTGTTGGCCTTTGTGTCATGTTTTTTGTAGGTTTTGGGAACCTCCCCGTGCAGGGGAGGTGCTACCAAAATTTTGAGTCGATACTAACCATTTTTGCCCTTTTTTGCAGGAGGACCTGTGGGAGGGACTCGGTGACCCCGATCGTCTTCGTCGGCGCTGCGGGTCTTCCTGCACCGCGTCGACACGCCACTGCACCGACTCTCCACCGCCCCGCTACCCTGACCTCACCGGCACCCTAGGTATAACCCCTCTATCCATATGTGGTCTTTGGTCACGTAACCTAGTTAGGTGTCTCCCGTCCGAAAGAGATATGGTTGGAGGTATACATATCTTTGTATATCTGCGACCGTATTTGTTTCGGATTGTCCACGTTTTTTGGATAGCCCACGAATGCGTAGATGGGTTAGTTTCCATGGTCCGCTCCGGTCCGAGATGGTGTTTCGGCATCACCCCCTGTTGTTCTCCGGATACACACTCTCCCTTGCAGAACGTGCATCGGGAGAACAACGGGGAGGTGCTGCCGAAATTCTATCTCGGATAGGGAGCAGAGCATGGAAACTAACCTCATCTACGCATCCACGGGTGGGATTAGGACCTATCCTCACCTATTAGAGAGTAGGAACACCGTGTGGATGCAATTGATGGTTACATTACTATGTGCTGTATATGTGGAAGGATGGAAGA